CACACGTCTTCATGATGCCATTTTCAATAGTGATGTACTGAAAGTATTGTGGTATAGTCCAAATTTAAAATGTATGAAAATAAACGAAAGGAAACCAAAAAAAGATTATTCAGCAAAAGAAAGATTCATTTACTGTAAATTAGCTAATTATTAGCTTTTTGAAAACATATTCATACATTGCGTTCCCCTAAACAAAATTACCCCCAACCCGGTTAACCAGCTAAGATGGTAAGTGTTTCCGAAGTCTTAATAACCTGCTACTGAAGTCAACCCCATTGGTCAGAAATAATTAAATAGCTTTGCCGTTTGATATGCGGAAAATTGGCTGTTATGACCGGCGTAGACTACCGAACCCTCGGAACTTCGGAAGAGCATTTTCCGTCAGTTCCTGAGAGGAATTTTTATCAAAGTTCTGAATTTCAAGATTTTGCAATTTTTTTGCAACTTTTTTGCAACTCCCCCAGTTTTGAAATTACGTTTGATCCGCATGCAATCACAAGTCCGAGTGAAATGGGTTTTTTCTTATTGGTATATACATAATATCAATGTAACAACAAACTGTTATTATACTGTTATTACGGAAGTTACGGATAATTAAAGTTCATTGTATTGCCTGTGTATTAAATTAAGGAAGAAAGAAAGTATGAAAAGAAATAAAATCCTCATGGGTGAGGAAATTACGACTGAGAGAAGTACAACTTTGGGCCCCGAGGCCAAGATACGATTTCATGTAGTTAGGGACCGGTCATTAATTATAGGGGGGGGGGGGGTGCAGTTCCAAATATACTACGCTCATTTTTTTCTCGACCTCCCAAACTGATGTATCATTTCTTTTGTCTCGACAACTCCACCCCTGGCCAGCCTTTTTTATGGTTCGTACCTTGGTGTAAGACATTGTGTAGCATAAATAATTAGAGGACCAGTTTTCAAAATGGTTGTTTATATTTAAGGCGCTGTTACACTATGCAATTTGTCTCGCAATTTTGTTGCAACACAAGTTGCACATCCCTCTTGCAACTAGTCTCGCAATGTTTATACACTGAGTGCTTTCCTATTGACTTTTGACTGACAATATGGCGCCAAACGTTAGCACTCACGGTCTTTATACTATTTTTAATAATGATCATTGCAAGTTGCATGGAACATATTGCTTGGTTGGTGTAACATCCCTTGCAACCCTGAAATCGTTTTTCTTAACATTGCAAGACAAGTTCCGAGACAAGTTGCTTAGCTAGTGTAACAGCGCCTTTACTTCGACTTCTATGTTGAACATATACGTAATAAACTGTGGAAACTACGATTTATATAGGAACTAAAAAAGGTGAAATATTTTGTGGGATACGATAAAGGCGAGAGATTGAAAATGAGTAGGAAAGGCAACCCTGAATACGTTTCGACCTAACAGTCTTCTTCCGCAGGGTTTTTTTAAGGGGGGTGTAGGCAGAATTTGCAGAGGAGAAGGAAGGAGAGTTTAGGAGTTTGGATAATAATGCGAGACCAAGAGAAAAACAAATTATTACGAAGTTATTGAAAATAGCCAATTACACAGCAACAAAAATGAAAGATGGAAAGATAGTGAAAAATGATATAATTACATGAACTGCAACATGTTATTAGTTAAGTTATCCTACCAAAGGTCTTGTTAGTGCGGGAGTCATTCCAACACCATATATTTTATTGTTCATCTTCTCAGTTAATTTTGAAGTAGAGCAAATGACAGATCCTTTTAGAGGTAGGTTACTCAATAGTACAGTGAGTATGAATGATTGTGATGGTAAGGGTGGAGTTGGATTTATATTGTAGTGTGATCATGTGACTGTAGGTGATTGCATCCTAACATAATGAAGGGAGGTAAGATTAAATGACAGGGATTTTCCGGATAGGAACGTTTGGCAATAATAAGTCATCCGTAAGGGATAAAAATGAATTATTACATTGTGCAGGGTTTGATTTTATAAAAAATATGAGTATACAGTAATAACTAAAAGATGTACATATATGATAAACCCAAAACAGTAAAATGAATGAATGAGGCGAGAATTACATAG